AAAAAAAAAAAAAAAAAAAAAAAAAAAAAAATCCCTAATGCTCACTTGGTGGTTCAGAGAGGGATGATTGGTACTTCCAGAACTGGAAAAGATCACCCTTTCATGTAATTCCTGATGGGCTTTGCAAACAGAAAGTTGCCTGCACATTGACATTTATCTTTCATTAGCCCCTTGTCCAGTCTTGTCCAGTTTTTCCTCTAGGTTTCTGATTATTGATCTCCTAGGTGACCAAAGATTCCTGATTATGTGCCCTTAAGATGGCTGAATGCAACCTTGGCCACTGAGTGTAAGAAAGAGACAGGATGTACCAGCATCATTGATAAAATGCTGTGTGCCTTCATTTCTAATTCAAAAATTTAATTTTATTTAAAAAAATTGTCTGTGTTGCTATTTGACAGATGAGTGACTATTTGGCCAGAATCACAATGCGTTTTCCAATAGCGCTTTTTCAAATGACGCAACAATATACTTCAATATGGCAGGAATTCCCTGTTTACTCTTGGAATCCTGAGTGAAAACCCTAAGAGCCACACATGAGGCACTTGGCCATGGATTGGACTCTACTAGTTTAATTTCTTTTGAAGTTAGGGCAGAAAGGGGGCTAACATCACTGAACTCATGAACAGCACGCCTCTGAGGGGGCTGTGAGTCCCCCCATTTTGCAGAAGGGGAAACAAACTTAGCATAGTTATTTCCCCATAATCCATACTTTTAGTAAATGGCAGAGCCAAGACTCATATTCAAGAGTGCTTGACTTGGAATCCTATGTTCTTTCCATGAAACTATGCTGTCTTCTGCAGAGAAATTTCTGGCATCTAAAGTATGTAACCAGGCAAAAGAAAAGTTGAGAAAGCCTATCCCCTGCTCTTCTAGGGGAAGGAGAGCTTACTAAGGTACTCATCACTCTTTTTGTTTGAAAGTAAAAGTTTGGCTGGGCACAGTGGCTCACGCCTATAATCCTAGCACTTTGGGAGGCCGAAGTGGGCAGATCACTTGAGATCAGGAGTTCGAGACCAGCCTGGCCAACATGGTGAAACCCCATCTCTACTAAAAATACAAAAACTAGCCAGGTGTGGTGGTGCTCGCCTGTAATCTCAGCTACTCAGGAGGCTGAGGCAGGAGAATCACTTGAACCTGGGGGGCAGTGGGGGTGGAGGTTCCAATGAGCCGAGATTGCACCACTGCACTGCAGCCTGGACAACAGAACAAGACTCTGTCTCAAAAAAAAAAAAAAAAGAAAGTACAAGTTTCCCTATGATGCTGAGTATAATTGAAGTCTAGTGTATTTGAGGTATGCGGTATTGGCGGTATATTTTACATACAGTGAAATACACAGTTCATAATTTTACAATAGTGTGATTGTTAAAACACAAAAAGCATACACTTGGGTAACCACATCCCAATAAAAATGAGAAATGTTTTCATCACACTGAAAATTCCCTCATATCTCCTTCCTTTTAATAACTTAGGTCTACTTCCTCTTAATGAGCATTTTTCATCCTCGAAGTATTTTTCTAATATCCATGAGTGCGACCAAGTGCACAGTGGAGCCTTACTACCTGTTCCGTAGCCTATACATCATCTTATTAAATGCCCTATTGTCAATGAACGTATAAATGAAAATTCATTATTGCAAGAGCTAAGCCCTATCTGAGGTAATGGGGACAGAGGTGACAAAAGAATGGTTCCTGCCTTCAAGGCAAACAGTGATGGATTTGATTAGGGGTTGAGTTGACTTCCTTGGAGTCAGCGACTTAGTGGCTCGGTCAGCCTGTGGCCACCCACACAGGAAGAACTGGGGTCGCACCACTATTTCCAGATGACCCTGGCTATGGGGGAGAAGAGAACCGAGTCATCCTGGGCAGGCCCGACTCAGTTTTAACTTCCTCACTCTTCTGTTGCTCCCGTTGTCTCTCTTGTGAGTGATGAGGCGTGTACATTTCGGATCCACGGGGGGGATGTGGCGATTTGAGCATCCTTTGGCACGCCTGGGGAGGCCAGCCAGAAATGTTTAAATGGGGCTAGATCTGTGCTTTGTAATCGTTCAGATGACAGACTGTTCCCTGCGCCTTCACTCAGCCTAATATATCTCTGGAAATGGTGCCAAACTGTTGAGGACTTGGTCTTTCCAGGTAGATGCCTAAGAAAGGAAAGAGCTAGGACCACACGCTGATTGGCCACGTCTCCAGCCAATGAGGAGAGGTCTCGTGGGTAGGTTTGCCCCACTTTAAGTAAAACCCAATCTTACAGAGAAGAACTAACAAAGAAGATGCGAGGTTGCGGGGGGGACGGGGGGAAGGGGGCGGGTTGGGTTAGGTATAGCCTCGGCCAATTCTCATTATCCTTTATTTTATGAAAGGAGTCGTTATGGAATTCTGTTAATAATGTTAGATCCCCCAGGGCTCATTGGGGACATCTGAAAGGGAATTCAATTCGGATAAACTGATTTATAATGAAAACTCCAGGCACACACCTGTTCTATAAAGCAATGTATTACTCATTATGGGATTCTCAGATAACAAGCTTGATCTCGTTACTGTTTAGGAGAATTTCCCTACCTTAGAAAGGGTGACTCTGGATAAAATTGAATGCATTCCTTCATTCAGTCGTATTTTCCAAACACAGACTGTGTATTAGGTACTGTGGTAAGGTAGCCCCAACCTCACGGGGCCTGTCACCCAGCATTTAAAGTCGCAGTCATTAGAGCCTGTCCCAACCTTGAATCTGGGGCTAATAATGTGTCCCTTTTCAGGAGAGGGGGATTGCAGTGGGATACGATCAAAATCTACCTCTTGTCATCAGAGTGTAGTCTTGAGCTAAGATGAGCTCATATAACTCAAAATTTCCTTTTTTTCTAAGCAGGTTGAAATTTATAGCCAGATTTTCCACCTAAGAATTCTCTTTCTGCCTTACATAACTTAACATATCTAGGCCTTTTTCAGGAGGCTTCTTTTGATCTTCTGTTGGGTGTTAACGTGATGTTGCTTCAAGGCCTTGCAGAAAGAGGTACACACATAGCTGCGTTTTCACACGTGGCTCCCTTCCCTGTTCCCTGGGTCCCCTGAGGCCTGCCCCTGCTTGGAGGCTGCAGCAGGGGCAGCCAACAGCACCTGGGTGTGAGGGCATAGTGAACGTGGGTGCCCTGCAAACAGATCATCGGCATCTCTTGATTGTTATTTTTTTAGGAAGTTCTGATGGTGACTGGGCAGTATCGACACTTAAGTCACCAAAAGGTACTGTACGGCTTTTTCTGGCTCTTTCGTCCAGGTGTTGTCAAATTTAGCATTAAATAATGAAAGGATAGAGAGTCCTGGTGTCTGTGTGACCTGTGCACATGTGTGTCTGCATAGGGTGGCATCTGCAAGTCCGTCTAAGTTCCAGTGTGTAGGTGTTTGTGTGTGTGTGTGCATCTAGCAATTGTTGGACAACGTGCTACCCCTCACTTCCCAATATTTGTTGCCTGATGGAAAACATCACTATGAGAAATCATGCCAGGTAAGGTGAAATGTGTTAATTTTTCTCAGAAAGCTGCAATGGCAAATGGCAAAACACAAGGTAAATTAATGGGGGCGGGGTGGGAGAAGAACACAGCTTCTGAGGAAGAGATAAACTTAGTGAAGTTATTGGCCAAGGGTCTTGGGAATGATTAGCCTTTTAGAGAACAGAATGCTATTTTCAGCTTTCCTGGGACAGCGTGGTAAGCAGAGAGGGTTAAGAAGTTGGTCGACTTGAGTCTGTGAGTTAACCCAGCTGGGTGACCAGACCGGGTGGCAGGTATCATTAGTTAATTAGCTCCCTATGTGCCAGAGGACTGGCCCTTTACATCATTTTATCATTTAATTCTCTGATGATAAGGCTGTGTAGGCATTGTCTTCCGCATTTAGAAATGAGGACATGATGTCTAAGTAAGGATAAGTCTTGCTGGTCTACAGTCATATGACTATTCAGTGGTAGAGTTGCAGTTTGAACCTCTATCAGTCTGACTCTTATTCTAAGCTATTTTCCGCTGGGGTGTAATGGGAAGCGGCTCTTTTTAGAATAGACCAGAAACACCCTTCTCTTTATGCTTTGTTGGACTCGGTGGAGAAGTAGCTGACCTAAGGAGGTGGAGGTAGAACTATGTATGTATTTGTTTATTTGTTTATTTATTTATTTATGAGATGGAGTCTCACTCTGTCACCCAGGCTGAAGTGCAGAGGTGTGATCTTGGCTCACTGCAACCTCCGCCTCCCAGGTTCAAGTGATTCTCCTGCCTCAGCCTCCTGAGTAGCTAGGACTACAGGCACATGCCACTACGCCCAGCTAATTTTTGATAAATATATATATATATTTGTGTGTGTGTGTGTGTGTGTGTGTGTGTGTGTGTGTGTGTATATATATATATATATAGTAGAAATGGGGTTTCACCATGCTGGCCAGGCTGGTCAAAATCCTGACCTCAGATGACTCACCTGCCTTAGTCTCCCAAAGGGCTGGGATCACAGGCATGAGCCACCACGCCCGGCTGGTAGAACCCTTTAATGAGCTTGAACTGGGGAAAATTAGGAGGCATTGCAGGGATATAAGCAAGAAACCGGTGTATTAGTCCGTTTTAATGCTGCTGATAAAGACACACCCAAGACTGGGCAATTTACAAAAGAACAAGGTTTATTGGACTCACAGTTCCACGTGACTGGGGAAACCTCACAGTCAAGGCAGAAGGCAAGGAGGAGCAAGTCACATCTTATGTGGATAGCAAAGAGAGAGCTTGTGCAGGGAAGCTCCCATTTTTAAAACCATCCAAACTTGTGAGACTCATTCACTATCACAAGAACGGCGCAGGAAAGACCCACCTCCATGATTCAGTCCTCTCCCACGGGGTTCCTCCCACAACACGTGGGAACTGTGGGAGTTACAATTCAAGATGAGATTTGGGTCAGGGCACAGCCAAACCATATCAACAATCATGGCCATTTTTTTTTTTTTTTTTTGCCCTCTCAAAAGATTATTCTGGCTTCTAAGTGGAGACTGGATTAGGGGACTGTGGACTAGAGTTGTGGACACCCACTGGAAGGCTCTTGCAGGTGGGTGGTGACCTGCACTGGGGTGGGTAGAGGACGGAGAGAAGAAAATGGAGTAGAAGGATCATTGAGAGTCTGCAAAATGTACTGAGTGAGGAGGAGGAGGACCATGAGACCAATGGCTCTCACGTTGTAACCAGCTTGAGCATGCATCAACATCACTCGGAAGGTTGTTACAAACCCAGATTCCTGGGCCTCACCCAGGAGCACCTGATTCACTAAGCCTTGGATGGGGTCTGAGGAGTGGAACTGCTAACAGGTCCCCAGGTGATGCTGATGCTAGAGGTCTGGGACCACACTGTGAAAATGACTGCAGTCAAGATATCTTTTGGGGAAACTAACACCCTGTGGTTTGTTCTCCAGATATCTTTTTGTAAGCTGAAGGTTCTGAAGAGGAGAGTTTGACCAGGGCCCCAGAGGCTCAGAAACATCCCGAGTTGTTGCAGGGAGGAGAGTGAATTCTGTTCCCTCATTGGGAAAGAGTTTTACATCAGTGTGTTTAATGAGAGTCCCCTGACTGCTTGGCTGTTGCCTTGAGAGAGACATTTTTGGGTTTTGCATTAGATAATAAGTATTCACATGTCAAAGTCCATTTTTAGAAACGCAAACAATTTGGAACATGACAGACCTACTAATTTGAGGCATTAACCTTTTTTTTCCCTCCCTGTGAAAAACAAAGCCATTAGGATCCCTGTGATGGCATTTGGAGGCAGTCTGCATTTCTGTCCTTATATCATCCTTTTGTCGTCTGATGCATTTGGAGCGTATTTCAGGATAGGTTAAAAGCAGGGAGCTGTTTTCTACCCAAACCAGGCTAACTTCACCTGTCCTGCTAAAGGCACCTGTATCCTGCCTTGTCCGGGGAGAGGAAAAGGGGTCCCAGTGAGAACCAAGTTCCTCTAGGGTCATTGGTCTGCCGCCAGTGTTCTCTACTCAACCTCTAGACCCAGACTCTAAATGAGGTATAGTAGCAAGGTTGGGGAGTTTGTATGCCCCCACCTTCCACATTCTGTCACTTTCTTAAAAGGGAGAGACAGGCCAGGCGCAGTGTCTCACGCCTGTAATCCCAGCACATTGGGAGGCTGAGGCAGGCAGATCACCTGAGGTCAGGAGTTTGTGACCAGCCTGGCCAACATGGTGAAACCCTGTCTCTACTAAAATTACCAAAATTAGCCAGGCATGGTGGCACGTGCCTGTAGTCCCAGCTACTCCGGAGGCTGAGGCAGGAGAATTGCTTGAACCCGGGAGGTGGAGGTTGCAGTGAGCCGATATCATGCCACCGCACTCCAGCCTGGATGGCAGAGCGAGACTTTGTCACAAATAAAAAGGACAAGTTGGATATGATGGGCTTAGACTCAGATACACATGGGTTCCAATACAGGCACCATCATTTGCTAGTCTTATTATCTTCAACCTCTCTGATCCCCTATTTTCTGTTCTGCAAAGTGGAGACCATCATATCACCTCCCTCCTAGCTTGTTGTGAAATAAGATGTTTAAAACACGTGTCACAGTACCTGGCATGTGGAAAGTAATAAATGCATGCAGGTTACGACTGGTATTAGTAGTACTGTTATTATCAGGTGAGCAAATTAAAGGCTCTGAAAAGCCTTGTGGTAATAAAAACTGGTGAACTCTTTTTAACCCACCATTTCCCAAACACTTTTGACATCTGATCTTTTTGTTCTTAAGGAAAACCAGTGAACATCTTAACATTCAGTGGCATGAATGTTGCTGGGAACCCACTTTGGGAACATAGGGCATGGGCAGAGAAGTATGCAGAGGTGCAGGTGTCACTGGGGAGCAGGGGGTGTCACTGGGGGAGATGGGAAAGGAAGTAGCTGTCAAGGAGAAAGGATAAGGTCTTTCAAGAGACAAGTTTCTTACTGCCACCTGCACTGGAAATGACTCCCTTTCGAGTGTGTCTCCCAGGACAGGAAATGGTAAACATCACACTAGTTGGTATGATTTATTTTTCACTACGTAGGGCTTCCCATGCAAGTTGCCCCCTAGTGGCCACTGCTGTTGATCCTCCCACACCCAGCCTTGGCAACACTTGTCACACCTGTTTAAAATCCACCCTGGAAGACACCATCTCAAGCCCAGCAGGCTCTCTTAATCGAGATGAAGCCATGTCTTTGGAAATCTGTTTATTTTGCAAACAGAATCTTTGAACTTAAGTCCAGTGCCACAGCAAGGCAATCAAATTTGGAGAAACTGCCAGCATAGACTGCAATGTAATCTCTGTGCTTCTCACTAGAATTGGCCTGGGTTCCCTTTTCCAAGTTACACACATGCTCCACACTCCCATTTCTACCATTGCTCCAGTAGAGGAAATCAGAGAATCTACTATCTGTAGGTTTTGCATGGGGCTTGGCTTGGTATATAATAGGTGCTAAATAAGGGTAAAAGAGGCCAGTACTCACAAAGTCTCCATTTATCTCTGCTTTGGAGATAGCTCTTAGTCATCCTGATGGAGTCTTTCAGAAAGAAATACACTTCACTAGGCCGGGTGTGGTGGCTCATGCCTGTAATCCCAGCACTTTGGGAGGCCGAGGCGAGCAGATCACTTGAGGTCAGGAGTTTGAGACCATCCTGGCTAACATGGAGAAACCTCATCTCTACTAAAAATACAAAAATTAGCCGGATACAGTGGCATGTGCCTGTAGTCCCAGCTGGGAGCCTGCAGTCCCACCTGGGAGGCTGAGGCAAGAGAATTGCTTGAACCCCAGAGGC